TGCAGCAACCATATCCCAAGAGAGTAAATTACTTCCCCACACTCAGAGAGCTAGTGGGGGACAGAAATTAAACTGAAATGCAGGCCAGCCTGAGAACTGCCTTAAGACGCAGCCTCAAACTCTCAACTCTCACACTGTGCCTCTAACTGAACGCTGCCACTGATTCTCATCCCCCCCCCATTTCTCCTTGATGATGACAAGTTGATAAAGACGCTATTGGGAAAGGTGGGTGATTGAATGACAGATACATACACTCATCCAGTATCTTACCTGGGATCAGCAGATTTCTTAAGTGAGATTGGCTTTTATGGAGATCATCTCAGGGTGAAAATGAGATGCAGGATATGAAAGACATCAGCCCTTTCTGGCCAGTGTAATCAATAAGTAAGGGAAGGGACCATCAGATGCCAGTGTCTCTAGTTTAAGACAAGCGTGCAAACAGAAGAAACAGTTACTTTTTCACTCCAGGATGGACATGGCAGGAACAGATCATGGTGACTTCACCGGCAGCCAGAACAGGTCTTGGGAAGAAGGTACATGTGAACAAGCACCACCTCGCTATGAACACACTGCTTCAAGTGCTGTGCGGATCCCTGAAACAGAGTACATTCCAAGTGGACAGTGCTGGGCTCTCAAGACCACCCTGTCTTGATCCTGCACTCTCCAGGCTAAGTTACCTCACCCATCTCCATCTGAGATATGCTTAGCCATCAGCTCCCAACAAGAGTTTCTCTAGCCTTCTCAGTTCGCAGAATGCTATAGGTAGTGTTGTTCCAAATAACTACAGATCAGAAAGTGGTCACCCATTAATGAAAATTACCCAGCTGGGTTATAGCAACAAGCCCAACAGAGGACGGGGCTTCAGAAAAAAGGAAATGAGATGTGTAATATTCCCTTCAGTGTTCTAAGCACAGAGTATACTGTTCCTTCCAATGTCCTAAGACAGGGAGAAAGTGTACTTTTCCCTCCAGTGTTCTAAGGCATGGAGATTACTGCTTAGAAATGCCTGCTAAAGGGTAGGCCTGTCTAACAAATACACTGTGCTTGCTAGTTGTTGTTGTCATTGTTGTTTCATATATTTTAATCATATTCTTCCCCCCCACCTTCTCTCCTCTTCCCTCCCTTCCCTCTCTCTGAAACAAAAAGAAAGAAAATCAAAACCTGTAAGATAAACCCATACCAAATCAAACAACAAACAAAAAAACAAACAAACAAAAATCGCAGCACAAATGGAGTACTTTTTGTGTCGATCAACTATTCCCTGGTATGTGGCCTTCACTGAAGTGTGTGCTGATACATCACAGGACACTTTTATTAGAGAAAATAGATTTTTCCCATTCCCTAGCAGGTAGTGATTGTAAGTTATACTAACTGGTTTTATGTCAACCTAACACAAGTTAGAATCATTTGGGAAGGAGAAATCTCCATAGAGAAAGTGCCCCACCTGATCAGCCTGTGGGAAAGTCTTTTGGGCATTTTCTTGGCTTAAGGATTGATGTGGGAGGATCTGGCTCACTGTAGGATGTACCATCCCTGGGTCGGTAACTCCAGATGATATTTGAAAGTACACTAAGCAGGCCGGCCACAGGAAGCAAGCCAGTAAGACAGACCCTTCCATGGCCTCTGTGTCAGTTCCTGCCTCCAGTCCTTTGAGTCCTTGCCCTGACTTCTTTGCATGATGGACGACAAGCTGTAAGATGAGATAAACCCTCTCTTCCCTTAGTTGTTTTTGGTCACGGTGTTTCAGTACCACCATGTAAACTCTTAAGTCACAGGCCATTTTGAAATACTAGTTGCTAGAATGGCTTATATTTCGTGAAGATTCATACACACTGTCTCCGAACAGACTCAGACATAACCAGATCATAGACAGATCTCAGACAGGTCGAGATGGTAGCAGCTCCTGCTGTAGAAACAAATCTGAAAATCAAAAGGCGCAATTAAAACTCAGATTTGTTTTAAAGCTGTTAACAGGGAGCAAAATGAAATGAACTTTAAATAAAAGACTGAGGCATCTTCAAAAAGCCTGAAATGACAAGTGAGGCCAGGAAATCCAGTCAATTAAAGGCTCTGCCCCATGGAGCAGTGTTGTTATGCCCTAAGGAGGACTCACCGTGTGGGTTAGCAACCCCTCGGCAGGCTAGAGGTAAGTAGCAGAGCGGTGGGCACCTGTTACAGGCTGTTGTTTCTCTCCAGGATACACAAAGAGAGGTCCCAGGAAAGTGAGAAGCAGACACAGTATAGCTGTTTCTCAGGCTCCTCAAAGACATTGATGCTTGGGGCTGGAGAGATGGCTCAGCCGTTAAGACCCAGCAACCACATGGTGGCTCACAACCATCTGTAATGGGATCTGATGCACTCTTCTGGTGTGTCCGAAGACAGTGACAGTGTAGTCATATAAATAAAATAAATAAATAAACCTTTAATCTGGTTTAAAAAGAAGTACGATGATACTTGTGGGTCGTTAGGTTGTCATTGTTAAGTTGGAAAGTTTGTATCCAAGTCCTTCTTGTGAGAGTGCTGAATTTGCCTACAAATGGGGTGGGTGCCTGTGGTAGGATTATGGAGCCAAAGCATGAGCACTGAGACATGGATGCCTCGAATGGCAAGTGGAAAGGAGCCGGCCCTGGGAGGCAGCATGCTTCTGCGGTAGTGGGTGTTCTACTCAATGGTGACAGGAGTCAACACATGTCAGCAATTGTCAGCTTTCCCTTCGCTTCCAGAAAGTGAACAGTCCATGTGTGGCCAACACCGGATAGATCTGCCTCTGGTGACCCCTCTCTCTCCCTATGTAGAAGGAGGAGCCCATTAACCAGTATCTTCAAACGTGCTGACCCCTGAACTTAGTATCATGCTATGGTAAGGATAAGAAGTTGTTGTCTTGGTTTGGCTCAGAGAGTAAGTGTGTCACCAAGCCTGATGATCTGAGTTCAAACCCTAGAGCCCACGTGGTAGAAAGAGACAAGCTTGCAAGTTGCCTTCTGTGATATACATATCATGGTATACACTATCACACTCAGCCGTGCATACTCACATCTCATACGTGTCGTAGAGTTAGTCACCACACTCTACCTTACTGTGAGGCCACCATATCGTGCCCACAGCAGTCTGCAACTCTTTGAGAATCAAGACTGTAAAGTCCAACTTCTCAGCACCTTTGGCTAGAGTTTTACTCTCTGGCCTCAATTTTTTTTCCTTTTTTTTTTATTGGATGTTTTATTTACATTTCATATGTTATCCCCTCACTGGCCTCAATTTCTAAAAGTTTAGTTTTATCATGTATTGTATATCAGCATCTCTGCTGTCATTAAAGTCTACATCAGTGACTCTTACCTATATGACCCACCACTGACTCCCAAGGGCAGATCTCCCTCCATACTGGGCTAGCCGGCTTGTTTTCTGCCTTCTGTAGACCTAAATCAACTTTTAGAAGCTAAAGGGTCTTCCCCCGCTGTAGTCACAAAGTAACAACATTCGAGGAAGGCCAGAGGAAGAACACGTGGCCTAGCTTGCAGGCTTCACTGTGAAGTCTGTTTCTCAGTTTATTTACCCATATGAGTTACTTAAACATTTACAAGCCCTATTACCTCACCATCAAAAAAAATACAATTGTCCCTTGGTGTCCATGGGGGAACGGGTTCTAGGACCTTTCTTTGATCCCAAATCTGTGGACACTCTAGCCCCTTCTATAAAAAGACATTGAATTTACATGTAACCAACTCGCATCTTCCCGTAGCTTTCGATCTCACCTAGAGCACTTAGAATACCTAATACAATATAAATGCCTCCTTCTGCCCCATGGACAGGAGACAATAGCCCAAAAGTGCACATGTTCAATTGCAGTTGTTATTCCAAATTATATTTATCAAATAAAAAAATTTTCTTCATTGTGGGATGAAAGAAACAAATTTATTTCTTAGACTTATAGAACCTAACTCAGGAGGATCTCCAAGTGCAACCTTCGCCTTCCACAGGGTAGAGGGCACCGTAAATCACCTACCCACAATGCTTAGACACCTCAGGAAGAACTGAGCCTACGCCCTGACAGCCACCATCCACAGTTTATACCCACACAGTCACTGAAATAACACTGAAGTTTTTATAAAAGTATCTGCCTATGACAGGCCTATGACCACAAACACATTTGGTTGACTTCAAGAAAGACATTGAGGTTTTTAAGCACAAGAGCTCAACAGCTTCTAGACCAGTGTCTGAAGCTCTGGACTCTGTGCCCATGGACTCTTCCTGCTCCAAGGTAGAACTGTTCTGTGTGCCCAGAACACATTTTAGAAAGTGCATGTCTGAGCAAGATTCCTTCGGCAATGGACAACTCTGAAAACAGCTGCACTGAAGAACTGATCAAAGCAGCGCTGATTAAAAAACGTTTTCCTCACTAAGAATGTTAGTCTGTGCATCCCCATTTCTCTGCCCACCATTGACCTTCATAGATTCGTTGATTTTGACACATAGTAGTGGCTGATGGCCTGTGGAAAGGTCCCTCGTAGACTTTCCAGAAGTGTCCTGCTGGTCATTGCCTTCTACTCAGCAGAAGAGACAACTTCTCCAGCCCTTGGGCTGTCAGGGGGCCTGTGTGAATGTCACATGACTCAATACTACGGCTGCAAACCCTCAGCAGAATTCTGCTCACTCTTCCTCTGTCTTTACCATGAGCATCCCCCAGCAGGCCCGAGGACACAACCTGGCTCTGAAGCCTGGAAACATTGAACAAACAGTTGCAGAATTTAAACTTCCCAGGAAACAGCCCCTGTTCAATTCTGTTTTTCTAAAACTACCAACTCCGAAAGAGCCCATCTCATCCTGAGATTATCAGGAGGGTTAATGTTTGTGATGTGACTATCTGTTCTTCCCTAAGGACATCAGAGGGAAAGTATATACAATATAAGGGTGCAAACAAAAATTAAACATACAGACCTCAAAGGCGATGTTTTAATACTGAAGGATTTTGACTCTAAGTGTCCGCATCTCTTTGTCCCTTTCAGAACTCTGGAAGACGACCTTAAGCTAAGCAGTGACGATGAAGAGGGTGATCAGGTAAGGCTTCCTCATATGTTGCCATCTTGTAGATGAGGCACAGATGAAGGTAAACTGAGTCATGGAGACACTGAACCAAGATGGTCTTGGATACTGGACACTGTACTGTCATTGATGGATTTCTGTGTGTTAGGCCAGTCTGTTAAATGTCTTGAGCTCAGTTCCCATTAAAGGCTTTCCATTCTGTGATTTTTTTTTTAATGGCATAGAGAGACCAACAATCACCTTTCTGACAAAACTAATAGAATCAGGCTTCCCTAAGAAGTGGATCCTCCCCCCCACCTTCTGCTTCTGCTTCTTTTGGCAAAGATAACTGGCCTTCTTGAGATCAAACATGTGACCTTATGTACATTAGCATGCAGTGGGGAGGCCGAACCATTAAATATTGAGAAGCCTTATACAGACATTATTAACAGTGAGAAGGAATGAACACAGAGGTGCGCGAAGATGATGAATAAAAAATAATCAGGCACAGTCTCGGCTGTTTGTCTGAAATGATAAACGCGCTGCAAATAGTCCCCCTTGCTGTTGATTCACCAGCTTGAGACATCAGTCAGGGGGGCTATAAATAGTCTTCTGATCAGTCAGTTAATGTGAAAAATACCCACTTAGCATTCATCACATTCGCTTCTGCATCTCGGGAAACGTTTTTACTTTAAAGTAGATTTCAGGAGCACTAGAGACCGATTCCCCTACACTTCCTTCATCTGCCCCCACAGCTACATTACATTTTGTTGGATTTGGATGAACAGGACATGTCAGGGAGACAGTTTAGAGAGCTCTCTTTTTTATGTCGTCTTGATATGTTGGGCTAAATGCATGTGCTAATCAATGGATTTTTGAAATCACGAACTTGATTCAAAGGTATGATAAAGTGTCGTGCACATGATTTGCTGTCTAGACATGCAAACACAACTAATGTTTATAGACAGGAGACCAATGTCAGAGGCACACTGCTAAGAAGTGTGCCTGAGCCGAGCATGGAATGGGATCAGGGAAGGCTTGTTCCTCTCTTTGTGAGACAAACTAAAGACACACAGATGAGCCAGGACTCCATGAATCTGTGAACCTGGTTGGCAAACAGAGAGCATCCCAGGAGAGGGAGGTTAACTTGGCAGAAGGGGCCTTGGGCTTTGAGAACTTTAGAGATAGCATGATTTGTTTCTAGATGTCTAACCCAGGCAGTGAGAAACCTCAGCAGCCATAGTAGAAGTTCATTTCTAATTTTGCTTTCTCATCTGTGTGACTAAGAAGAGAATTATTTCCTCTCTCTCTCTGTTTTAAGCCACTGAGAGGCTCAGCTAGGTACCAAATGGGTTAAGCCTTCTCAAGCATGCAATCTGTGTATGGTTTCTATTAGAAAAAGGATTCACGGGCTAAAACGGTTTCTAGAACTATTTGCAGGAAGGACTTCCAGTGAAAATGCAATTTAAGAAACTCGTTATCAACGTTGAACTATCACATCCTCTAAAGGCAAACAAATCATTTGCTTTACTGTCGGCTTTCCAGTCTACACGGGTGACACTGTACGATGAATGAACATGTTGGACTGTTTATTCTTGCTTTTCGACCCGACCCTAGTGTGTATTTTACTGTTTTTTTTTTTTAAAGGAGCACTCAGGATGAATTGTTTTTATACAGTAATTCCCTAACTCATAGACAAGACTCTAGACAGTGTTTTTTGCATATGATAATTTAAGTTAACTTGTCAACATTAATTAAATTAAGTTCTCCTATTTGGGTCTAAAGTATACTCTTGTATAGTCACAAAATCGTAACTCCCTCACTCTTTTTACCAGTTAAATGTATATGACAGTTCTATACATGTGTATAGTGAATTCTGTTTATCCCGCATTGCAGAGTGGTGGGCACACTGTTTGATACGCAGCTGAAGACAATGACAATCTTCCCTTCCCCCAGATTCCATCAGTTGCCAGCAGTTCATTAGGAAAAAGATGAGGCCTCTTAAGTCCTTCCTGACCCACGATTGGCTGTTGGCAGGCCCATTCCTGCACCTTCCCAGCTTAGGCTACTGTAGCTGCTGCAAAGATCATGGTTTTTGTGATGGGTAGATGGTGCCTCGAAGGTAGTGTTTGCCCTCCTTCTCCCTGTCTTCCAGCTTGACATTCTTTCCTCTCCGGCTCCCACAGTGCTCCCTGAGCCTTGGAGAAGTTCCCCTACTTTTAGAGAAAAGTCTAACAATAAGCCCTCCCCCTGAGAACATGTAGCCTACATGTATGTGAAACATACTTTATTTCTCTGACACCATGAGAAAATGATACATTTGTTTCCAGGTATAATCAGAGTTCACCTCATTCCCAAAAAATCCTTTCCAGAAAACCTTTGCAGTCTTTTCTTGCTTGAGAAACTACCTAGTTGTCTTTATAAAGATTGGTCTAGCTGGCCTGGGTGGTCACCTAAAAGAAGATGTCCATTAAGAGCCTCAGGTTGCCACACACCTTGCTGTGGGTTTCAGATCCCCGCTCAGCTGCTGAGGAGCTTGGTAACACTGGCCCAGCTTTTTGACCATAGAGTCCTTCAGAGCTCCGCTCTTTTCTTTCTGAAGTTAGAAACCCCCATATCTGTTACTCTTCCTGCTGCTGTGACAGACACCTTCAAAAGCAGCTCAAGGAAGGTTTATTTGGGCTCACACCAGAAGGCATACAATCCAGAGAGCATGGCAGTAGGATCAAGAGGCCATATTGCTCCCATAGTCAGGCCTGCACACACATGCACTCATGGGCATACACATACGCACACATGCACACACACACACACACACGTGGATGCACGCACCTGCCCCCCCACAGACACATGAGCACACAGGCGTACAAAAACATGAATGCACACATTCACACACACATATACTTGTACACACATGCACCCAAGCACACATGCACGAGTGCACACAAACACACGCAAATGCACACACACGAGTGCACATACATATATACATACACACATATGTATGTACTCACCACATGTACATACACATTCACAAGTGTGCACATACACACACGAGTGCACACGCACACA